AGCAGAGAGAACAACTGTAAGCATGTTGTAAAGCCCACACAATTACTGGGAAAGTTGGCACAGTGCTGTGAAAGTGGGCAGGGACCAAGGGAAGCTGGCTAGTGTTGGGATGGGCAAAGATGTGACATCTGCAGTGGAGGGGAGAAATAAATCATATTCACACACTAATGCTTTTTTCAATGCTTTATTCACTCAAATCATTCAATACAATTTCACTGTATAGGTTCTTAATCAAGCAAATGATAATCCTTAGTGCTGGGCACTGCAATACACATAATCAATTCAAAACTAAAAATTCTAAGTTAACTCTGAGCACAGCAAACACTTAATCATGCCAGACTCATTACAGACATTCAAGTTCTTGAGAGTTCAGAGAAGGGGAATGTGATGGAGATGTACAGGAACAGACGTCTGCACATATTTATGTGTGCATATCCATTTTTGACTCTCCCAGTCTGTCCTCCCACTCCAGCCAGTACTGTAGCACTAAGGGCCAGTGTGGGGGGCCACCTCTGAGCCATTTGCATAGTCTCTACTCAGCCTTGAAGCCAAGGAGATTTCGGTGTGGCATTGCAAGTCATTCCATGGCTTACTACAGAAAGCACATGACCTCAGTCTTCCCTCAGTTATAGAGACTGCTCTGTGGCTCTGGGGTTGGGTGTTACCTGTCAAGCTGGGACAGCCCACCCATTGCTTTATTTGGTGAAGCATGTTCTATGGAAAAGCCTTTGTGTATCCCCCATAGAAAAATAAAAAAAACACACATTCTGTCTCTCTCTCTCCTTCCAGTGTGGAAGCAGCATCCTTAAGATCTCAGAGCTGGCCCACCCTTGCATTTCAGAATTATTTCTGTGCTGTGTGATTTCTTGCTGTATCTCCCAGCCAGCTTTCTGCAGGAAGGGAACACAGCATATCTTCCAGTGAAGGCCACAGGTGAGAGTACAGGCTCTTGAAGGTGTTGGATCTAATGGGAAGTCAGCCCTTTTTATATTTTATTTTGAGACAAGGTCTCATGAAGTTGTCTAGGGCCTTTCTAAGTTGCTGAGGATAGCTTTCAATTTGCAATCCTCCTTCCTCAGTTTCCTGAGGGATTACATGCATACAGCAGTGTGCCTGGTTTACATAACAGGAATATTTAAACTATCAAATAACTAATAGGAAAGTTAAAAACAAAATGGTGAGTGTTAAGCATGGCCACAGTAAGAGGTTAAGAAATGCACGAAACCAGGAGAAGGAAACCATGGCAACCAAAGCACAAGTTACAAGAAAAAAGACGGAATCCAGAGTACTGGTATCAGAGCAGAGGGAGGTTCTGTTCAGCTTAAAATGCTCTTTGGTAACTATAAAATTTTTCTAAATCCCAGAGGAAGCCCAAAAGAAAAACCAAAAATGACAGCATGTTCACAAAGGACAAAGAAGGAAATGCAAATTTATCCCAGAAGAAAACACCAACCCTCAGAAACAGACTAGAGAGTAGGGAGGAAAAGAGAGAAAAAGAACTAAAGAGAAATCAGAAAAAGAAACTAAAAATAAACAATACCAGTCAGAAATAATTCTGTATCTTTCGATAAAAAACCTTGAATTTAAACGGAATAAACTCCCCAATTATAAGATGTAAAGTGATTGAATAGATTTTCTTTTTCAATGGACTCTGTTACCTGCTGTCTACAAGAAAGTCACTTCACCTGACACGCACAGGTGGCAGTGAAGGGATGGAAAAGATATTCCACATAAAGGAAACCAACCTAGAGCAGGAATGGCTAGACTCCTGTCAGATAAAATAGACTAGAGATTGAAACACAATAAAAAGAGATAAGGTGATCACAGGATGATCAAGGGTCAATTCAGCAACATGAGACAGCAATTGTACACAAACATGTACCCGACACCCGAGCACCCACATGTGCAAAACAGATATTACTGGAATGTAAAAGAAGAAGTTGACTACAACACAGTAATAAAAGTGGGGATTCAACACCCCTTTTCAGCACTGGATGGATCAATCTCTGCACACAGTAGACATTTACAGACCACCCCACCCAACACTGCAGAGCAAACATCCTTCTCAACAGCACACGACACATTCTCCATTTATTCTCAAAATAAATCTCCATAAATTTAATAAGAATGGAATCCATAGCAGGGGGAACTCCTGGACAGTTACAAAGCATGGAAATTCTTCAGCATGTTCCCCAACAACAAACGGGTCATTGAAGATATCAAAATATTGTCATGTATGTATGAAATTTAAAAAATACATAAAAATAAAAAAGAAAGTGTAAAATGCCTGCAGACCAATAAACAGGGCCACACAAGATATTCAAACCTGTGGATACAGCAAAAGAAATTCTAAGTGAGAAGTTCCCAAGAAGAAATACCTACATTAGGAAAATAGATCTCAATTAAATGGCCCAATATGGCATCTAAGGGACTGGAAAAAATAAGGATGGGTCATGCCCCAGTTAGTAAAATTGGGAGAAGGAATAAAATCATAAAGCTTCTCAAGTAGCTGGGATCCCAGGCATGTGCCACTGCAACCAGCTTTTCATACTTGTTTGTTATTGTTTTGGGGACCAGGCAGTGAACCCAAGGGTGCCACACCAGTGAGCCCCATACCCAGGCTGGATTTGAAACAGGGTGTCACAAACTTGCTTACAACCTCACTAAATTGCTGAGGCTGGCTTTGAACTCACCATCCTCCTGCCTCAGCCTCCTGGGCTGCTGGATCTACAGCTGTGTGCCACCAAGCCCGCTTTTGCAGTTGTTTTTAGAAGAGAAGCTTTCAGTACACCTATTTGACCCACCTGTCCATACCAATTAAAGAATGCATTCCATTGTTTTCATGTGGGTTCTGCTTCTTTCTTTTCAAATATTTCTAACAGACAGCTCCATTCCAATTAAACCTTCCCAATGTGGTCATATCATTTTTGGATTTATTTATTTGTTTACTTATTTCTGTGATGCCTTGGATGGAACCCAGGCCCTTCCACATGCTAGCAAGTGCTCTACCACTGACCAATGACCCCAGATCCCTGAGTTAGCTTTGATGAAGTTCACTCATTTCTCCAGAAAAGCATGGGTTCTGGTTTCCTAGATTGTGGAGAAGAAATTGGCCAGTGTTCAGAAGGGGCTGTAGAGTCTTTGGATGCAAAGGACTCTGCATCTTTCAGGAGCCAAGGAGTGAAACCCAGTCCCCACTGCCTGACACGGCCACCATTACAAGCTGGTCCTGTTTACCATGACATCCTACAGTTGTGTGCTCTCTCACAGCACAAATGAACCTAGAGTCAAAAGATGAGGAGCTCAAAGAGCAGTCTGGGTGCTTTAACCCCAGGACTCTGGGAAAACAAAGAGCCCTCACAACCCTTCCAGTGTTCAAATGGTCTGAAGGCACCAGAATATCTTCAAGTCCCTTTTTAGTCATGATAACTCTTAAAAGAACAAATGATGACACATCTCACTATGCAGATCTTTGGCTTTATTTGAACCTAGAATCCAGCAGAATGAATGCCGTTCAGAACCTTCCACCCACCCCACACTTGCAACCTAGTCTTAGAGCCCAAGAAAAGGAAGTGCCATAAAGAGGGAGCCAGGCACAAAGATCACTCTGTGGGTGACAGAGAGGCCAGCTGTGCTTGGCCCAGACTCTGCTACCAGTTCCAAGAGCGAGCTGCAATCTGCTTACACATCCAAGTGGGTTCCAGTTCACTATGTGTGGAGAATTATTCAAGAGCCATAATTAAAACACATCCACAGGTAGCTTTAGAACACCTCAAATGAAGACTGGGGGGACCTCATTCTCATCCTTGGATGGGAAGCTAAGGCTAAGGTCGCTGCACAAGCCCTCCACCCAGTCTTCAGGGGAGGGAAGTGTCAGGGGAAGGTCTGTCAGTTATGTGCACCCCTGCCCCACCAGAGCTTGTAATTTATTCAGTCTTATTTTGAAATATTCACAAGTGTTATCTACCTATATGATTATACTATTTTGCTGAAAGGGAATTTGGATACCTCCAATGGGCACCACTAGTTTAACTGAGAACAGACTACCTAGGTGGATGACAGGCAAGAGACTCAGAGCTCTGATCAATGTGCAGCATGGACACCTTCTGCAGGCACTGGGAGTGGGACAATGGGGCATGTTGTATGCAAAGATGCTCTTGCCCAGCACATCCAAAGAAACCTGAGGTTTCTGGGTCTACATGGAGACCCATGAGGAAGGGGCAGTGTTCAATGTCTGGGTGGCACTGAGGTCCCCTGAGAAGAGGTTTTCTTGCCTTGGCTCATGTTCAGTGCCTATGTTGAATGTTCCAGGCCACCTGTGTGCACCTGCATGTGTTAAGCCACAGAGTAGCCACACATCATGACCAGATTTCAGTTTGATCCCTTGACTTCCTGGGACTGAACCTCATTGTTCACCAAGTACCCAGGGCCGTCTTTCTCCATCAGAACCTGGAGAATCCCAAGGTTTCATCAGAAAGCCAGGTAAATCCATCACAGAGGACGTCAGAAGACTAACCTTGAAATTCCCTTCATTTCTGACTATTTATGGACCAGCCATGAAACACAATAGCTTCTTCCTGTGCCCATCAAGCCTGAATCCCATTCTAGAAATCCAGGTCCCTATGTATGTCTCCATGAAGACACATGTCCTGAAGGTCCTATCCTCGGGGGTCTTCCCTCCAATGGAGCCCCCTGCTGCACTTTCCTTTCTGCATCCACACTTCAGGCAGTGTCTGAAATGGTGGGTTCTGTGTTTCCTCTAAGGTGACCCTATATCGTGGTTATACATCCAAGTGCCTAGAAGTATGCTTTTGAAACACACCCAACTAGGCAGCTGTTGGACAGGAACAGTGAATGAGGTCCTCTTTATACATGAACTTGTAGCCACAACGACGACCAGGGAACAGTACAGAACACAAGGACATTTGGCTGCCTAAAGTCCCTCACTATTGCTGTGAGCTCAGCACAGAGTTGGGAACATCTCCCTGGGTGGATGGTACCCTGGGCATCATAGCTCTCCAGAGGGGCAGGGTACAGCTCTATGCTCAACTGGCTCAGCCTGGCAGTGTGAAGCAGCAGGTCCCTTAAGGCTGACATGGAGTTGCGGTTCCCATGGAAGCTCAAAACCCTGAGCTGGGAGCAGCGGCTCAAGGCAGGCAGGAGGGCCTGGAGCTGGGAGTCAGTGATACAAGCTTCCAAGTCCAGGCTCTTCAGGGAGGCTGCAGTGCTTTCCAGCAGAATTTTGAGGGGCTCTGGACTGAATTTGGTCAGTCTGATGCCCCTCAGTTCCAGGTGTCTGAGCTGTCTGGTGTTTGGACATCGGGAAAAATAATTCTAGTCGGAATCTGACAGCCGACATTTGGTTATTGAGAGGGTCTCCACGGCAGTCTTCAGGTGCCTAAGGAGAAACCAGGCAGTTAATTCTGAGGAGCAATGTCAGGGTGGGAAAGACAAATTGGCCCAAACCCAAAGTCACCCTGGTCATCTGACAATGGTCCACACTTAGGATGCTGCCTTTTGCAGAATCTGGTCATTCACATCACCCCATGTCAGAGTGAGCCTTTCACCACCACTCCTGTGAACAGATGAGCCCACATTTCTGTGTCCCCTCCTCACTGCCAAGGAGAAAGTCACAGGTCTGACCACAGGAGGTCATGGGGAGTCATGTACAAAGGTCAAATTCAGGCAGGATGTAACAAAATCCACAGGGGTTAACTCTCTGAGAGGCTCACACCCTATATCCTCAGCAAGACTTCCACCCCTGCTCCTCACCCTCACACCAGGATCACTACCTGGAGCTCAGAACAGCCTTCCCCAGGTGGGTATTAGAGGCAGGTCCTCTGCTCCCAGCTGGGGAGAAGAGTGCTTCCCTGTTGATGGGTGTAAGTGTGGGGGCTTCCCTCCTTCCAAGCCCTCTTCTCTACCCTGCTTTCCACCACCTTCACTGGACTGGCCTCCCACAAAGGGAACATCAGTCCCATCCCTAGCTCCTGTCCCTCCCAACTGGGTTCCCAGCATGGTGGCACTTCCCAGACCATGGACCCTGGTTTAGGACTCTGCTCTGACACAGGTTATGCCATCTAGCTTCAGGATCCAAGAGGAACAAAAGGATGGGTTATTTACCTTCCAGTGTTGTATTAACCATGAGAGTATCAGTGGCTGGTCGGTGGAAATTTCCTGTAACTGGTCTGAGGAGGATGCTCAGCCCCCCCCTTACTCACCTCAGGACCTGCTCCAGGTGGCCCTTGAGGAGGAGGACAGCATCCACACAGGACTTCCACAGGCAGTCCATCCTGAGGAACTGCGAGGTGAGCTGGGCAATCAGCTGCTCCTGCTCTTCTGGGGAGGTGTGGGCAGGCAGTGGACCTGGGAGACCTGCAGTGTCCTCAGGTTCCTCATCTGGCCCAAGAAAGAAGCACAAGCACCCAAGGTGGAGGGCACCCAGGTGCAGTGCACTTCCACCTTCTGGACAGTCCAGCTGCAGCAGTCTCAGGACCTTCCTGTTGTGGCTGGTGGGTTTCCCAAAGATCTTCAGCCTATTGCAACACAGGTGTACCATGTCTCTTCTCTGTGTGACCCACAGGATCAAGTGGGCCTGGAATTCGTCCAGGGGCCTTTCTATGAGGCACAAATCTATGTCTAAATTGAAGGGTGGCTTAGCTGCCATTGCTGGACCAAATTTCAATGTTTGATTTGTCTTCATGACCTCTAGTGAGTGGGCATCCACCATGGCTCCAGCCACATCCTCCAGAAGTTCTGGGGAACATTCTGCAAATCCAGCACCTGCAGTTTCCACCTCCTGCGGGGACCACAGCAGAGTCTCAGCCCTGAGGCCCCTTCCTTCCCCTCTAAGCTGCTGCACCCTGCTACACCTCTTCCTTCTGTCTCACTTTTCTCCACCCACTTCCCTCCAATCCAGCCTGGCCTGCACCTGTACCAGCTGAGTTACATGCAGGTGCAGCCTCCTTCATGGGTCACCACAGCTGCCAAAAGCACCTCCACAACCAGAAGCCCCTCCCAGATGGGGCTCAGCATGGCCAAGGCCTCTCCACCCCTCCTTGCTAGCAGAGTAGGAAGCCTTTGGTTCACCCTCTCGCATGTACAAGGCCCTCAGTTCAATCACAATATCACCTAATTAATTAATTAATTAATTATATTGTCCATATAAAACTTAAAAAACAAAAATTAAACATATGAATAAAAGTTGGGCGTGCAAGTGTACACCTGTAATCCCAGGGGCTCCGGAGATTGACAGAGGAGGATCAAGGGATCAAAGCCATCCTCAGCAAGAGCAGGTGCTAAGCAACTCAATGAGATCCTGTCTCTAAATAAAATACAAAACAGGATAGTTTAGGGTCCCGGGCCTCCTGGCTGAGCCTCTGAGTCTGTGGCTTTGACTGATGCAGTAGTTGTGCATCAGGCCTGAGAAACTCTGAGAGAGTGCTCCCAGTCGGCTCCTGGAGTGATGCCTAGCGCATCCCAGTGCTGAGGATGGAACCCAGTGCCTCACACACACTAGAAGGTGCAAGAAGACATCCGTGAAATGCGTGAGCACCTTTTTAGCATCTCAGCCATTTAGACTCTGGCATTGGGAACTTCCAGTGACAATCCCACCGGGAGAGACTGCCTGATGCAAGTGAACTCCCCTGCAAATCTGCCCAGAAAGGTCCTGTATGGCACCAGAGATGGATGTGACCTGCTAGGAACTAAGCAGCCTATATGCCCCCACCTCTATCCTGTTTTGGTAAAGAACCTTCCATAGAATATCTTTGATGTCTTCTGATATAAATACAGCAAACATGGGCTCCTTTCTTTGTTAGAATCTGGACCATTCTGGTCAGCTTCTGGTCTCTGTCCCCTCTTTGAAATTACTTTCTGTATTCTGTGGTCATTTCATAGTTCTACTTTTCTTAGCTTTTATTTCTCAGCCAGCCCATCCCATGGAAGGGGAACCCAATCCTTCGCCTTTGAGGGACATGGGTGATAAGAAGGATTTTTTCTTCTTTGAAGAACAGCTTTGTTGGTGTAGCAATCTTTTTTGTCATTGTTCTTTCTGAAATGCCTTTTTAAAATTTTTTTATTTGTTTTAACTAGTTATGCAGGACGCTAGAATGCGTTTATGTACTTTGATATATAATACATAGATGAAGTATAATTTCTCATTTTTCTGATTGAACATGTTGTAGAATCACATTAGTCATGCAGTCATATATATATACATAAAGTAACAATGTCTGTCTTATTCTACTATCCTTCCTATCCTCATATTCCCTCCCCTTCCCTCCCTTCACTCCCTCTACCTAATCTAAGATAACTCTATTCTTCACTAGTGTCCCCCCTTATTGTGAATTAGCATCGACGTGTTAGAGAAAACATTTGGTCTTTTTGGGGAGGCGGGGTTTGCTTATTTTGCTTAGCATGATATTCTCTAACTCCATCCATTTACCAGCAAATGCCATATTTTTTTTCTTTAAAGCTGAGTAACATTCCATTTAATATATATAACACATTTTCTTTATCCATTCATCTATCAAGAGACACCAGGTTGGTTCCATATTGTAGCTATTGTGAATTGAGCTACTATAAACATTGATGTGGCTATATTACTGTAAAAAAATAATAAAAAAAATAAAATACTAAACAGGGCTGGGGATATAGCTCAGTGGTTGAGTGCTCCTGAGTTCAATATCGGGTACCAAAAAAAAAAAAAAAAAAAAGAGAGAGAGAGAGAGAGAAAAAATTGAAAGTGACATAAAACAAAATGGAAATCCTAATATTCAGCATAAAGGCAAAACCACACTGTGAGGCAAAATCAAAGTCCTAAGTTGGCTCATGAGAAAATATAGGAACAAAATTGTACCTGAATCCACACAGGTGAGGAGGAAATGCGCTGGTGCTTAGGCCAGTGAGGGACTTATGGGATCTAGCCAGGTGTGCAGGTGCTCTGATATTCAGCAGGCCAGGATGTGTCTCCTTAGGCTGCCAGACTCTTGTGCTTCTCTTATGGCTCTGCAGAAGCTTTTATGGACCTCTCTGGCCACGCCCCCATCTCCATCTGATTGATGAGCAACCAATCAGAAAACAGTATGTGATCACCTTCCCCAATCTCCACCCACTTAATTCTGTTGGGATTTTCTTCCTCGAGATTAGTTCTTTGAATTCAATGCTCATGCACGAGCACAGAATCAGGGAGATGTGAGAGTCAGGGATGCCTCTGTCCATGCACTCCCCACCATGGACTCAATTTGGTCCATATGTGACCCTCCTGTTTCTACTGTCAGCCAGAAACGTACTTAATCCCTAATGTAAGAAAAAAAAAAAACATTCCTGGAAAATACCTTTCTACAGGGAACTTTGGCCAAATTAAAATTATTTGAAAAAAATAATTTTCAAAAATATTTTGAAAATTCCAGAGAGAAGACAGCTTTTTGAAGACAGTAGTGTCATTGAAAAAGATTACACAATGGAAACCATGTGTCCAACAGTCACACAAGTGTCAAGTTAACTTGCAGCAAATCTGGGCACACTCAGGGAGGAAGAGCACACAAGGAGGGTGGAAGCAGTCTTCTAGACTTCGGGCAAGATTTCTTCTGTCTCTTTGTACTGGGGATGAAACACATTGGCCCTCTACCACTGAGCCACATCCCCAGCCCTTTTTATTTTTTGTTTTTATTTGGAGACAGGGTCTCACTAAATTGCTTAGGTCCTCCCTTAGTTGCTGAGGGTGGCCTCAAACTTGCCATCCCCCTTCCTCAAGTCTCCTGAGTTGCTGTGATTACAGGCATGGGCCACCATGCCCCATCAGACTTGGAAAACTCTGAAAGCCACTGAGGGTGGAAGCGGTGGGCAACTTTGGATTTTAGAGAGAAAGACACAGGGTTGGACAGCAAGTGTCCTTGACTTCAGGGCAGCCACCAAGTAGAGAGCCTTCCTTCAGAATCTGGGACCAACCCAGGGCACATCTCCCAGAAAACCTTGGCCCCAGGCACTTTCCAAGGCCTTTAGCCTGGGAGAAGAACACAAGCAAAGGAAAATTGCAAGAGTCTGAGTAAAACAAAATTTTAAAATTGAGGAAGGAGAGACAGAAAGAGATGGAATGCTTGGATGTGCCATGTGAGGGGAGCAATTCCAGGGAACATGTAGAAGGAAAGGTTTGATGGGTGGCAGTTAGAGAATCCATTTCTGTTTTTTCAGTCTTTCTTTGTTTTAGTCAGCTTTATGGTGCTGTGACTAAAAGACCCAACGACAACTACAGAGGATGAAAAGTTTATTTGGGTGGCTTGGTTTCAGTGACCTCAATCCAGAGACAGTACCTCCAAGGTGAGACTGAACATCATGGCAGAAGCATGTGACAGAGGGAAGGGGCTCACATTACCAGAAAGCAGAGAGACATGGCCACTTGCAGATACAAACTCTACACCCATATTCACACCCCCAAAATCAGCTCCCTCCAGCCACACTCCACCTGCCCCTGTTATCCCCCAGTTAATCCTATCAGGGGTTAATTCACTGGCTAGGTTTAGGCTATAAACCAATCATTTCTTCTCCAAAAACATTGTCACATGTGAGCTGTTGGGAGACAGAGCATCTAAACTGGGATGGTCATTTGTGGTATCTTGTTGGAAAATATCCCTGATCACATCACATAATCATATGTTAGTTGGATACTTATAATTGTCTAAGTTTTATATTTGGTTTCTGTTTCACATAATAACTTACCACAAATGAAACACATTTAATTTCATGTGTGTGCAGCTATATAGGATTAAGGCTATCCAACACCTTCTCTGATTTTTATTCTCTACAATATATGAAGTCAACTCTCTGATTTAATTTTAAGTTTCTCTGGAATTTGTCTGTGTTTCACCAGCTGAATGGGTGACTTCATGTCACAGCCCTGGCTTCTCTATTGGGAGACACAGCATCTAAACCATGATAATCTTTTGGGTATCTGTTGGAAAATATCCCTTTTCATATCAGTTTAATATTTACAGTTGGTTGAGATGATCTTTGGTATCTGTTTCACATAATGACTTACCACAACTGACCCACATTTAATCTCCTATGTGTGCAGTGAAGTAGGGCTAAGGCTATTTCAGAGACCTCATTGCTTTTTAGGCTCCACAACAATAGATATCTTGTCTCTCAATTGAATTCTAAATCTCTCTGCCATTTGTCTGTGTGTAGCCAGCTGGAAAGGGTGACTTCATGCCACAGCCCTGCCTTCTCTTACCACCTTTGACTTGGTGCAGGAGGCAGGTAGATGTCACTGTCAACCTAAGTCACAACAGACAGTGGCTCTCCAAAGAACAGGAATGCAGGACACCTAAAGAAAGATGAGTCAGAGCCCCATCCAGGAGGCAAAGGGAGACAGGGTTTCAAAGGCAGCTTTGAATCAATTGTCACTGACTCCACAGATTCAGTACCAAGGGTGGCCTCAGTTCAAGGAAAACAGGGGGCTACTTGCCAGGTGTCCTCCTAGTGTTTGGGGGGTGCAGGTTGGGTTGGATTTTATGCACAGCTGAGGTAGGTGCTAAGATAGTTCCTTACATCAGGAAGGGCTGCCCAGAGACCCTCCCTTCACAGTACCCTGCTTCCCCTTCATCAGGATTTGACACAGTTCCTAGCTGTTGATTTGAGCACCATTATGTTTCCCCCTTGGGATGAAGATTTTTTCTCTGAATGCATCACATAGGGTTTGATTCTCTCTCAGTGCCAGGATGGACTTTT